TTGGGTGTTTGTTTGTTACATTTAAGATTTCAGACTTGCTTAGATCAAGTTCTTTTTCACTTTTCATTTTTGGTACTAAATATGTGTTTTTCTTGTTGTCTTCTTGATCCATGTACACCTCTACTGTATGCAAACTCGATCAACCGCCAACTAGAAACTCCTTTTCAACGATAACATCGACCGCATAGCTCGCGAAATAAGAGAAAGGAGAAATACAGTCAACCTTGTACCTCAGCAAACACTCGAAATGACTAACGAACCAAATCAACAGAATGGACCCGCAAACATTGGTGTTGGAGATGCACCACGGGATCACCGTCAGAGGAAAGGAATTGCACCTCCTGCTATCCAGAACAACAACTTCGAGATTAAGAGTGGTCTCATCTCGATGATTCTGGGGAACAAGTTCCATGGTCTGCCTATGGAAGATCCACTCGACCACTTGGATGAATTTGATAGGCTCTGCAACCTAACAAAAATCAATGGTGTCAGTGAAGACGGATTCAAGCTCTGGTTGTTTCCATTTTCCTGGGGCGACAAAGCACACATCTGGGAAAAGAATCTGCCCCATGACTCAATCACCACCTGGGATGATTACAAGAAGGCTTTTCTAGCAAAGTTCTTCTCCAATGCCAGAACTGCAAGACTCAGAAATGAGATCTCTGGTTTTTCACATAAGACTGGTGAAAGCTTCTGTGAAGCATGGGAGCGTTTCAAGGGTTACACCAACTAATGCCCTCATCATGGCTTTAAGAAAGCCACTCTACTCAACACTTCATACAGAGGTGTTCTACCAGGCATAAGAATGCTTTTGGATACCACCAGCAATGGGAATTTCGAGAAGAAAGATGTTGAAGAAGGCAGAGAATTGGTTGAAAACTTAGTTCAGTCAGATGGAACTTACAATGAGGACTGCGATAGGACCACTAGAGGAACGATCGACTCTAATGACAAACACATGAAGGAGATCAAAGCTCTGAATGACAAGCTCGATAAGATTCTTCTTAGCCAGCAGAAGCATGTGCACTTCCTTGTTGATGACAAGCAGTATCAGGTCCAAGATGGGGAGGGAAACCAGTTAGAAGAAGTTAGCTACATCAACAATCAAGGTGGCTACAAAGGATACAACAACTTCAAGACTAACAACTCTAACTGCCATGATCGAGAGCTGACAACTCCACCTGTTCCTAACTTAATCACTGGGGACAACGATGTTCAAGAAGGAGAGGCTTCTACTCAGATTGACGTCTCTGTTGTTGAATTCAATCAGTCTGGTGGATCTCGCCATCTTATTCAATCCACCTCAGAAGAGAAAGCGGCCATAATCGAGAGAATGGTAAAACGATTCAAACCTACTCCATTACCCTCACGTGCTCTTCCATGGAAATTCCGGAAAGCGTAGATGGAGAGATAAAAATATGTTGCAGAGAAACAGCTTGACGAGATTGAAGCAGTGATGCCACTAATGAAAGTTCTCAACCTGATTCCTGATCCTCACAAAGATGTGAGAAATCTGATATTAGAAAGGATCAAGATGTATTACGATTCAGATGATTAATGTGATGCTTATCCGTCTCGAGCTGCTGATAAGAGGATTGTTCAAGAAAAGTTAGAAGATCCTGGATTTTTTACTCTACCATGCTCCATTGGGGAATTGGCTTTCAGCAATTGCCTGTGCGATCTCGGAGCCTCTGTTAGTTTAATGCCACTCTTTGTGGCAAAGAGGTTGGAATTCATTCTGTACACGCCTTGTGACCTGACTTTGATCCTTACGGATAGGTCTTCAAGAAAACCCTTTGGCATGCTAAAAGATTTACCCATCATGATTAATGGAGTGGAAGTGCCTACAGACTTCATTATGCTGGATATGGAAGAAGAACATAAGGATCCTCTAATCTTGGGAAGATCTTTCTTAGCCTCAGTGGGAGCAGTGATAGATGTCAGGAAAGGGAAAATAAGTCTCAACCTTGGAAAGCACATCAAGCTGAAGTTTGACATCAACAAAACTCCACAAAGGTCAACAGAAGATGGAAAAACCTATGAGGACGATAGAGTGATCCGGGGAGAAGGATATGAGACTAAAAGAATAAAAGAGCTTAAAAAGAGGTCTGATAAGCAAGAGAAAACTATAGAGGAGCTAGCTAACACCGTTAAGAAACTTAAGAGTAAGCTAAATCAGATGCAAAAGGAAGCTCAACCTAAAGGCGAGATTGACATTATCCCGAGAAAAAAGTTCACTTCAAGATGGTCTGAAGAGATAGATTACCCTCCAGAAGAGAAAAAATCCTACTTTGAAGAAAGGGGAATTGAGTATTCTGTCACACACCTCTCAAGGGAAGATGCTGAGTATGATGATGAGAACAGAGAGGACTATGCAGATCCTCACTATTACTCATTTTCTTCTTTATAAGTGTGAGGAGTCAAGCTAGAGAGTTTAAACACTACTCACTTGGGAGGAAGTCCCATGACTATCCCTGTAAATAAATTTTTCCTTTCTTGTTATTTTTGATTTGTTTTAGTTGTGTTTGTGGTTCTCAGGAGCAAAGGAACACCAGTATACCAACCACTCGAGTGAGGAGGTCGAGTATAGGTGTGATTTTAAAACAGAATTTCTTTAAAAAAAAATCATCATAATACTCGACCAACAAAATCTACAGAGACTTACAGAAGGTTTATCAAGTTTACAGAGGATTGCGGGATTTCCTGAGATTTTTCCAGTAAAGAAAGAGCAATGATTCAGAACAAAAAGACAACCATGGGACCCACCACTGCACCCTATGTCTCCCACACTCCCAACCAAAAGACAAGAAATCTCTCTCATTTCTTCTCAACCAACCATACCTCACCCTTACCCTGATCATCACTCGACCTCCATCTCTTCAAATCGCCAAACTCTTCACTCATCACTCGACCTCAACAACCATTTTCTCTACCTCAGTTTTTCCGCAACCTATACTCGACTGCACCTCTCTCATCTCTCATCGTCGCTCGCTGCAATTCGAGTTATTCAAGTGCTCGACATCACACTCGACTTCATCACTCTCCAACTTCAACAATTTCACTTGACCTCTCATCACCATCTTCCTCATCGACGCTTGACCAAACCACACCATCTCTCCATCGCCTTATCACTCGACGAACTCAATGGAAAAACGAGAACAAAGATGGTCTTCATTCACTGATCGCAATGCTCATCGCTCATCCGTTCACTTTTCTCTCTCGCAAACCATCGAGCTAGTCTCAACACCGTTAATCACTTGATCCATAACCAAAGAAGGAAGAGAAGAGAAGTATTCGACCACGAAAACGATTTAGTCTTCAAACTCATCATCTCTTCATCACTTCCACCGCCGCTGCTCTCTTCTCAACAAAAGCTCACCACTCGAAAGCTTCTTCACGTCTCACACTCGCAACCAAGAAATCATCGCCTCTACCATTACTCGACCGTCGTGAACCTCTTTGATATCTCTCACCGAAACCACCACCATCTCTCGCTTCTCAACACTCGACCGCGTCACCAAACCGGGCAAGAAAACCAACTATGATCCAATACATCAAATTTCAACAATTTCACTCGACCTGTTTCGGTTTACTCTACCCTGTTACTCGATCATTTTACTCGACCAGTTTGTGTTTTTGGTTTTGTTGGAACTAACGTATTAACGTTTCTCTTTGAGTTCCATCTGTTTACAGGAAATCAACATGAGTAATTACAGTGGTGAGTCTTCTATGGATCGAGATTATAATGTGGATGAAGCTGAATCTTGGTCCACTAGACCAGAGAGAGAGGAACATGTTTACGAAAGTTTCAGAGCAGAAATGCAACGCTCAGCAGCTTGACAAGTCAGAGAAGAGCTGAAATCGGTAGAGGAAAGAGAGCGATGTTGAGTAGGTATGAGTTGATTGATTAGGACATTGAGACTGAGTATGAGCCAGAGTCATGGCGCAAGGAGAGAAAGCTACTGAACAAACCCGACGAGGTTCCAGTCGAAGAGTATATCAGACTCTTTGAGCTGAAAGATTTCTAGGGAACGAGGTACCCCTGCTACGAGACTTTAACCCAGTTGGGGCTACTAGAGGACGTGCAGCACCTGTTCGAGAAGTGTCATCTGAAGACACTCATGTCCTACCCATACGCTGCCTACAAGGAGGAAACGATCTAGTTTCTGTCCACAATGCAAGTGGAGATGTATCAGGGTCTCACAAAGTATGAGTTGGAGAGTATAGGATTAGGGTTCTTGACGTTTTCGGTTGATCAACAGCGCTATCAGTTGTCGATCAAGAGTTTGGAAAGACTGTTTGGCTTCCCTAGTGGAAAGGGAACCAAGCCTAAGAAGAGCTTAAGGATTTGTGGGCTACTATTGGGAACAATGTGCCGCTAAACTCGGTGCGGTCCAAAAGCAAACAAATCCGGAGTCCAGTGATTCGCTACTTTCAGCGCTCAATAGCCAATGTTCTTTACTCCAGGGAGTCTACAGACACTGTGTCTAACACAGACATGGAGATGATAGATTTCGCACTTACAGGCATTCTCCGCCGCACAAAGCGAAAGAAGGTCCTGAGAGGCGATCTCAATGACGCGCCACCAGTAATGCTTCTATTGATCCACCTGTGTGGATACAGGAAGTGAGCGTTGACAAACGGCAAGAAAAAGGTGAGAAGAGCACTATGCATAGGTGGCGTTGTGACGCCAATTCTGGTAGCTTGTGGAGTACCGCCGAAGGAACCAAGGTTAGAACCAAGAATGATGGATTTAGATCATTTGCATTGATGTGAGTTCTTGGAGCATGACATGGTTGGCGACTTCTACCGCTACAGGTTTGAGCATTCGTCGATCAAAATCGCCAATATTCTTCTCCCCTGCATTGAAGCTACTACAATTCTTGAGGGAAAGAACATTGACTTCAAGCCTGCGGCTAAAGATATTTATTTCGAGGGTAGTCCGCCAACTGAGGAGATCACTCACGAGGAAAGAGTTACAACAGAGGAGGTTGATGAGACTGATGAAACAGATGAAGTGGAGTATGACACGAGCATGTATCATTTTAGTGAGCATGTACCTCCAGCGAGGGAGAGCAAGAGTTTGAGTGAATCTCACAGAAACAACAACAAGTTGCAAAAGTGGTGCAAGAAACAAGATAAGTTACTCATTAAGTGCTTTAAGGCTATCAAGTTTCAGAAGGACAAACTAAGTTGCTCCTCTTCCACTACTACTATTCCGTAGGGACAGATCCCTCAGGACATACCCTCGAGGAGATATGACGAGCCTGAGCCAAGTTGGCGCAGGCCTGAGCCTAGTGAGCAAGAGGTCCCGCATGTGCCTACAAGGCATTCATTATTCGAGCCTCGTGAGTATGGGAGAAAGAGAAGGACCGTGCTCACTCGATCTAGCAGCAGGAGTAGAAGACTTCTGCAGTCTCGAAGTTTACACGACCGCGGTGCTGGCCGCAACAGAAGGAGAGAGGTCGAGTATCCTCAGAGCGTTGCTGACCGCCACATAGCCGATGAGGTCGAGTACCCACATGCTGGAGCTGATATAGAACAGGGCGACTCGTCAATGGCATGGGAGCAATCACATGCAGCCATTGACGACCAACTCCGTTCATTCTTCGATTGAGGTAAGCGCCTCACTTCACCATTGTATTATAACATTTCCTGTTTTTATTTTGTTTCTGTGATTTGTTTTGTCCTGGGTACTCTCTTCCAAATTTGATCACAGAATGGAGTGTGTGATTTCAGTTTGGGGGAGGGCTCAGGAAGTGTGTGTTGCATTGTATATACTCTTCAGTCTGCATTCATCTAAGGCATAGAAAAACCAAAAAAGATTTGAAAAATTTCAGAAAATAATTTCACAAAAACAGAGTCTTCATGTAGTTGTATTACATTTAGGATCGAGTCTAGAGTGTTTTATTTAGGATTGTTGCATATGCATAGGGGATAATGATGAGATAGCCTTGTAAGCATTTTGGTTCACCGGATAAACTCAGTTCCCTCATTGCTAGTTATCTGTTTCGTAGTCAATGAAATTGAAGTAAACCAGCACCATGCCTAGATTGCTCTACTCGATCACACTGTCATGATTTGATACCATTCCCTATCAATTTGAACCTGACTCTGATTTTCAATTATCATGTCTGCATCAATTTGAACTCATGGATACCCTAAAATACTTGGATTATCTTACTCATTTAACCACTCTTGTTAATCCAAGTAGCTAACTCTCCTTATTGGAGCAGTTAAACCCGAACTCAAACCTAAACTTTCTTTCAAGCCTTATATCACTTGTGAGTGTTTGGGAGGTCTTATTCCGATTAAGCTTGGTAGAAAGTGTTAGGTTCGTAACGACTAGATAGGACTAGATAGGAGTAGGTGGGTGCTTATATTGTGGATTGGGTTGTGTCTAAAAGAAACAAAAAAACGGTGGATTCATTGATAAGAAAAGGTCAAAGACTCTAGGTGAAGTATGGTAAAGAAGCAGAAAAAATCTAGTAAAGATTTTGGGATTTGTAAAGAAAAGAAAAGGGTTCTTATTAGCTAATGAAGAAGGGCAAAAGCCCTTGGTTTTAAAAATTTAAAACAGGAATCTTAGTTATGATAAGTGTGTATTTTGCATGTTTTGATCATCCATTTGTCATCACTTTAGCATCATATCATCACTGTTTTATATCATTTCTCATCATTTGTCATCACTTTACATGTTTAGGATAGGTTTGCATGCATTCTGCATATTTGTGTTGATTTCAAGTGATTTGGAGCTGTTAACGAGCTAATTGGAAGAAGCGGACCTGATCATGACAAACCACTCGACCCAGAGGTCGAGTAGGAGCTTCAAGATCTCAAGAGACCACTCGACCCCCAGGCCGAGTAGAAGACACCACCACTAGATCACATCACTCGACCCCCCAGGTCGAGTGACTTCATCTCCATCTTCTCACCACCACTCGATCACATCACTCGACCCCCAGGTCGAGTGACTTCATCTCCATCTTCTGACCACCACTCGATCACGTCACTCGACCACGCGGTCGAGTGTCTTCATCCCATTGCCAGACCACTACTCGACCTCATCACTCTACCTGGAAGTCGAGTATCACCATCACACCACTCCACTGCATACTCGATGACAAGCTTCAGAGCCTTCTTCATTCCGCACTCAACCAGACACTCGAGCATAAGGAAGAAAAGAAGACTCCAGCTATTCACTCGACCTCTCACTCGACCACATGGGTCGAGTACAGTTCTTAATCCGTCCCAATACTTCGTCGTTTTAAGTATTAGGGTTTCGTAATATTTGGCTATAAGTAGCATGTACTTCACATTTTCGCAGAAAAGAAGTTTTTTATCTAGTTTTATTCCGCAGACCTTGTGTTCTAGACCTTTTTGTAATCCGGATTTCTCTTTATCTATTTAGTATTCAGTATTCAGCTTTTGTTCTTGATTTTGTTTACTGTTGTTCATTCTGTTATCATCCTGCTGTTACACTGTTGTTATCATGTCTTCAACTTGTTCAACGTTTATGCTTTCTGTTATTATGTTTGAGTAGTGAATAGGTTTCTAAGGATGGGTTAGAGTAGTGTAGAATTCTCAACATGCTAGGTGATTGAGTATTGGTTGATAGATCCCTTCTGGATTAGTTGTTATTAGTGCCTATTGCTTTCTGATCAACTGGAATTTGAGCCTAGACATTTCCGCGCCCAAAAGGTGTTCGATGAAATGTCTGAACCACTAATTCCAGAGATTCGTGACCCTGTACCAAGGTATTGGTTGCAGGGAGCGTTTTGGATTTAACTTGTTGATTCGTAATGCCTGTTAGGTTAGCTCTCGCCAATGGTGATTGAGTCTGGGACTAGGTTAACTTGAGAGTCTCTGTGTCGGTGGCACTTAGATTTGGTTAATGAACTTGTTGTCTAGGGTTAATTTATTGAGCATGTGAATCACCTGTAAACTGAGAAAACGAAACTACTCGATTACCCCATCCTCGGGAATTCTTTATCTGATTGAATTCTTTGTTTACTCTACTGTTGTTTACTGCATCTTGTTATCTGTCGCTTAATTTCTGCAGTTCTTTCTTGTTACTCGACCTCATACTCGACCACCTAGTTGTCTAGCAACAGACTATGCAGTCGAGTATCCGTGTTTTATTTTCTGTCTGTTACTCGACCTGTCACTCGACCTCACCCAGTGCTCTACAAAGAGCTGTGTAGGTCTAGTGTTTCACTGTTTCTGTTTGATTTTCTGTTTTCTGCATGTTCACTTAGGACTGCTAGAACACACCAAAACCTGTTATTGCTTGACTTGAATTAGTGACTTCTGATCACATCTTGATTGTTAGCATCACACCCATTTGGATTGACAACCTAAAATACTACAACGATATGATTGGTGTTTTAGGATAATTGACTAAAAACCTATTATCAAGTTGTTAAAGAAATCCAAATCCACTAGATGTATCAAAGTGTTGAGAAAGCTTCTCCTAGAGTTAAGAGAAAAGAAAAGAATGATTAGAAAAAGGGTTTAAAAGACTCATGAATGCAAAGGGTAGAGTTAAGTTCTTAATTTGAGACTGGAGATGGGATTACCATTAGAGCTTCATTGGTTATACTCTGGGTAGATGGGATCTTATCTCTGTATGAATAGCTTGGGACTTAGCTTTAACATTCTACTAAAGTTTAATCATTTTTGAGAGATCCCTGTTACTGCAGCCTATTATGTAAAGGACCATCTTTGTCTCTTGACCTATACCTTAGCCAAATGAGTTCATTGCTCATGCATTTTTTGATTCACGTTCCATAACTACTGAATGTTAAAGGGATTGGTAGATTTGAAAACATGTGTAGGTCGAGCATAAGAGTCGGATTGATTAATAACAAGGCATGGCTAATGTTTTTGAGTAGGATTCGATCATATCGTAGCTTAGAACTACCAACTTGGACATCGATTTCATCTGATTTATCTGGTGTTTTGGATCTGAGTCCCCGCTTTTAAACCTCACCTCCAGCTTGTTCTTTATTGTTTGCTTGAGGGCAAACAAAGACTAAGTTTGGGGGAGTTGATAAGTGTGCATGTTTTGAGCATCCATTTGTCATCACTTTAGCATCATATCTCCACTGTTTTATACCATTTCTCATCATTTGTCATCACTTTGCATGTTTAGGATAGTTTTGCGTGCATGTTACATATTTGTATTGTTTTCAATTGATTTGGAGCTATTGACGAGCTAATTGGAAGAAGTGGACTTGATCATATACATATACTCGACCCCGAGGTCGGGTACCGCCATCCTGGACTTTCTGAAGTACTCGGTCACGGCCTCCGCACAACATCACTCGACCGCAACACTCTGGATAACCACTCGAGTAGATGGCATCACCACTTCTCACCACTACACGACCCCCTGGTCGAGTAGACAACCTCATCACTTCACATCACCACTCGACCCTCTGGTCGATTACCACCATCACCTTCACTCGATCACTCACTCGATTATATGGCCGAGTCCCATCATCATCGCACACTCGACCAATCACTCTACCACCAAGTCGAGTACCACCATCATTCACCACTCGACATCATACTCGACTGCCAGCTTCAGAGTCTTCTCCATTCCGCACTCAACCAGACACTCGAGCACAAGGAAGAGAAGAAGACTCCAGCTTACCACTTGACCAATCACTCGACCATCAGGGTCGAGTGCCGTTCTTAAATCCGTCCCAATACTGTGTCGTTTTGAATATTAGGATTTCAGAATATTTCGCTATAAGTAGCTTGTACTTTACAATTTTCGAGACAAGTTTTATTCCGCAGACATTGTTCTTGATATTTTGTAATCCGGATTTCTCTTAATCTATTCAGTATTTGCTTTTCATTTCGTTTACTAAGTTGTTCATCCTGTTATCATCTTGCCATTACTTTGTTGCTATCATGTTTTCATTCTTATCTTCGTTTATGCTCTCTGCAATGATGTCTGAGTAGTGACTAGGTTTCTGAGGATGGGTTAGAGTAGTTTAGAATTCTTAGTATGCTAGGTGGTTGAGTTTGATTTATAGATCCCTTCTGGATTAGTTGTTCTCAATGCTTATTGCTTTCTGATCAAATGGAATTTGAGCCTAGACATTTCCGCACCCAAAAGGTGTTCGATGAAATGTCTGAACCACTAATTCCAGAGATTCGTGGCTTTGTACCAAGGTATTGGTTATAGGGAGCGTTTTGGCTTTAACTTGT